TCCCAACTCATTTCCATTCAAAATGAAAATCATTTCGTTTTTCGTTTGTACGCGCTGCTTAATTTATTCAAGCAGAAAAATAAGAGAATCATTTACGCGTGCGCAAAGAGGATTCAATCCGAAGAATATCCGGTGAAAAGACATTAATTTTTCATCATCATTAAATGTCTTCATCAACGTCATTCGGTGCATCAAATAAAACATGCAATGCAAAACATATGACTAGCTGAAGAAGAAAAAAGAAATACTGTGGGCACTAAATTGAAGATGTACATCGCTTCTTGTTAACGAAACACCTCCCCCCAACTGAATTGAATTAAAGAAGGAAGTTTTGATTTATATCGCTCGGTCAGGATAATAATAACAGGTCATTTGCCAAAAATTCTCAAGTCATTTTTCTAATAAAATAAAATCGCCAGCACTTGAAGCCAATTAACAAAACCAACGAACATTGTTTGTGGTGAACACAATCTCACTTAATATTTGTGCATCGTCAACAATAGCGGAAAGATTAAACAGATATTGCATTGATGGCGAACACAAGTGAGCGTTGCACTTTTATAAGTTGGCCTTTTGTTATCCGGCTGTGAAGGAGCGTGACCGAATTTTTTATGCCATGCCATGAATACATAAATCGGACAAATATGAATGAAATGAAAAAGAAAAAAAACGAACACATAGACAAACGAACTGAAAATTGCAAGAATTAAATAAGTCAAGCATACAATGTATTTTCTGGCCGCGATGAGTAACTGTACAATCCATGAAATCGAATAAGTGTTTTTGAGTCACACAAAAAAACAGTGGATAATTCACAATATGTGTATCGGTATCGAACCAGATAAAAAGAAAGAACGAGAGAGAGAGAGAGAGAGAGAGAGAGAAAAGTTGTAAGACGATCCGAAAAATAAGCGTGCGCAAAAGCGTGCTCAAAAGCCTAGTGATCGGATGCTGTATCACATAATGCATCGAAAAATAACCGTTGTGAAAAAACACTAATGAATTCAATAGATGATTATCGTATTTAATATTCCGCACACAGATCTATCGGCACATGTGCTTTGGGCTTGCGTCCAACCCGATTCGATTCGTTTGCGGTACTACTCGACCAAACTTGTGCGCTTATCACTATTGGCACGTTATGCGTGTCTATATGGCGCTGTATTTGCTTCTGAAGAGTGGCATAAAAATTCATCAAGATCAAAAATGCAACAATGAGCTGTTTCCAAATGCCGGAGGATTGCGATTGGAATAAAATTCCAAATTCGATGGTGGAAAATGGGAATTTGATCGCCAAAATCGATTGGCAAATCTCATCAACTTTCATTCGCCAAATTCATTCAAATGAATTATGGTTGCCGGCACGAATATGCCAGTGTCAATTACGTCCATGTATTTCCCATCTAAATCATTTCTCTTTTGTTGCATTTGTAGGTCTGTGTATTGTTCAAAGTGACCGAGAAATATTGAAACAATGGCCATTCGATTGAACGAGGAAGTAAGCCGTTACATATTTTTTCGGCATAGTATAATTCATTTTAAAGAAGGCATTTTACACAGTGTGCAGTTGTTAAAGATCGTTCATTGTCGATGTTCCGTTTGCCATTTAGGAATGCACATATTTCAAATGCACGCCACCAACTAGCTTTGACTTTATGGCAAAATGCCTTTGGAACAATATTAACGCTTCGGCATAAGCACACCATATTTATAATTTTCATTGGAATTTCATCTTGTGAACCGCTCCAATTTCTAAATTTCAATCAGGCACGCGAATACGAATCGCTTCAGTTTATAGTCTTTTTTTATTGAATGGGCAAAATAAATAAATTTTCTGCATGAATTATGGCATTTCAATTGGTGAAATGAAACAGAGCCGAAGGGGAGTTTTTTTTTTCGTCAAATCAATATCTCTCGCTTGAAAATCATGATTAGATGCTTAAATAGAGTTATTCATAGGCAAATGCTCAATGGCCAGTAAATCTGCACAAATGCCATTTTCAGACGGTATTGAGTTAATTTCCAGTGGAAAGTGTTCGATTGAAATAGATACTTATTTTATTATAGAAACAGTTTTATTGAACAATAATAATACAACCGTAAGCATATTCGCACGATTGTCTGTTTCACTCCCATTTTTTTTCATTGTGATTCATGAAAATATTCCACATACTTTGGAGAATCAATGAGCCTATCAACCCAATTTCATTGTATTCTATTCGAATGCATCCAAAGTTGACTTGACTGGGAATGAATATAAGGAAAAAGAACCCTGGCTAAAGAATGTTGTTTACATTTTGAACATGATTAATGAGTGTGATTCCCAGCAACTTCATTCTGTGCATAAGAAATGATCAAGTTCGTGCTTTCGAATCAATGTCACAAACTATCGCTATATATTGATCTTTTCTGGTTTACACGGCGTCAACACGATTGCAAATGCAATAGAGTGATTGTTTTTCCACTGTTTGTGTCTGAAGACGATCACTTACTCGGCCAATGAATATTAATAATCGAATGGTTTCGTATGACGATGTCTAAAAATAGCCGCATTTGAACGAACAAAAAAAAATGCAATTGTGTATTAATACATTAACAAACGATCCATGCATACAATACACATCTATAAAAACAGGACCTAAATAATAAAAAAAAACTGAGAATTCAACGACACTCTGGGGCATTTGGATCGTTTTCATTGCAGGCATCGACAATTCTAATCTATTTCTTGGTCGCAATTTCACAGTCACTTCATTGAGATTCAGTTGAAGATGGCACTGGTTACGTATTTCATTACGAGTCTCTCTTTCTCACTTCACAACAAAATATATTATTATGTTTCATTAAAAAGCGATGAGAAAAGTGAATAAATTATAGCAAAAATATATGTGCATACACGTTGAAGATGAAGCTAGACAAGCGCAAGAGGTGTACGGCCTATTGTATCGCTTCGATCATCATAGAAACTGAATGTTCGTCTTCTTTCGAAATGAATTGAAACTGAAAAACCAGTGATTTCACATTGGTTTTAAATTTCATAAATTAAATTGAATGCGACATTTTTCTCGCGCTATTCGAATGTCCAAGCGTCTACAAAGCCGTTGTTTTTCTATCTGTCGAAAGAGTGAGTAGCGAAAAAAAAAATCTATGCTACGATGCATTTTTGTTGTTGTTACAATTGGCCTATGAATAGCTAGCAAGAATGGTTAATAACATAAGCGATTGGCATGTATCATGCAGGCGTTTCGTTTCCTTTTCGTTAATTTTTTTGCTGTGGTTCTCTTTCTTTTTCCATTGGGCCTTGGCTGAGTGTGCGGTGAATCGAGAGGAGAAAAAAAATATATGCATACAATAAACGTTTGGACGCTCATTTCTAAACTGCTTTTTTTTATTCATTGTGTAACCGATACCATTCTCATGCACTTTAGTTTTCCGTGCAAAAAGAATCAGTACGAATGAATGTGCGCCCAATGCAAACAATCATAATATAATTAGAAATAGAGAATAATACAAAGATGAAATGAAAAAAGAGAAAAAATCTCTTGGAAAAGGATTACATATTTTCGAATGTGTTTTGATTGTGTGGCTTTTCTTTTGGGACCGCTTGATTTGAATTTGTGTGCTGTGAACCAATTAAATTTAATTCGCTAAATTTTTTTTGCTACCGCCAAATTGCATTGTGCCGGCGATCGCAGGTATGCAGGCGGGCCTGCCGGTCGACACAATGAATTCAACAATTCGTGCATTTTCCATACTAGTGACAAAACAGGAAAATTTCGTGCTATTCCATATGTGGAAACGAACATGCTGTGAACCAAACATTGATCAGCACAAGTCACTGATAAAATAAAAAATACATTCTGCATGCGGTTTTTCATTCGTCGACGACTTTAGGATTATAAGTTTGCTCTCATTTTAATAGAAGAAAACCATAAATAAGTTGATCTAGAAATAGATCGGTTTGTGTTGAAATTACCGCGATTGCTCATTTGTTCTCATTTTGTGTAGACGATTTTGTCGTTTTTTCGTTTGTAAAATACCAATAAAAATTGAATTAACAACCATTTCCATTTAATTTACACATATTTTTCATTATTAAATCAGGTTTCGGTACAGTTTCGACAATCAATATACAAGCCAGAATGAATTTTGTGTGAGCGTTGCTGATAGGCTGCGTTCAGCCATCAAAAATATTATACATTTGACTTAATGCAGATGTGTCTATTTAAAAATGAATAAATGCGAATTCATTTATTTGATTGTGATTGCGCAAAGAATGTGTGTGTGTGTGTATGCCTAATGAAATCCGTAATAAAAATCGTAAAATTTTATGATAACTGCCTGCTGAGTGAACAGCATTTGTGTATGCATTCAGTGTTTGGAGATTGAAATCATATGTGTGCATTTGCATTGAATTTGAGAACGAATAAAACTTTTCATGAAATATTACCACCTTACGATGACCAAAGTATAGAAGCACTTGCAAAACAAAATCCACCGTTTAAAGTTCTCTTTCGAATGCGTGAACAAATTTATTAAAGAGAGTTTGAAATTGGCATTGGCAAAATGTCTTACAATGTACTTCTTATGAGCAATCAAGATAAATGTGCACAATTTTTATTTTCTTCTTCATTATTCCAATATTAACATTGAGTACCATTTGCTTGTACAGTTCGATGCACCATTTAAATAGCCTTTTTTTGCCACAACGGGCGACGGTATATTTCTGATTAAATCAACTTTTATCTAAAGTAAGATAAAAAAAATGTCTCTAAATAGTTTCCACACTTCATTTAATTTGTCATTGCACTTCGCTACGTTCGCTTTTTTTTTGTTGCTTGTTTGTGCATATCATATTCAAATATTTTATATTTATTTAACGATGTTATTTAATTTTTTTTTGCGGTGAGTTCGCAGCATGAACATTTTTCAATTATATTTGTTTTTATTAAATGGACAATTAACGTAAAAATGTTGACAAAAATATGCATATAATTTACCTCTTGCTGATTTCAAAACAACCTCCGTGAATTGATAAATTGTCGTTTGTGATAAACCAATTTAATTTTCACTTATCACAATCTGTTTCTATATTTTACATCAGTTGAAACCAAACACTTTTTCACAAATTGTTTTTTTTTTTCTTCCTCGAAAAAATTTCCTTTGAAATTAACGGGACAAAATTGAAAAATTGAAAAGAAAACAAAATTTTGCGTTATTATTGAATTTTGGTAATGTTCTTGATTCACTATCGGTCATTCGGTTTGGTCGATCAATCGATCCGTTTTCAAATGGGAAATGCGCACAAATTGTGTTTGCTGAATGGGGATCGTTGGTGCGTTGGTTTTCTCTTTCGTTGTTTCTTTCCAAGTTTGGCTGGATGGCTGGCTGACTGGCTGGGCCGGTACGTCTATTCAACGCAATGAACGAAAGAATAATGAATCGGTGAATCGGTTTGAATGATCGCTTATATCTATAAAATATTCGCTATGATTGTGGTTTACGTACAACTGGCTGGTTCTGCAACATACCACTAACAGTAGCATTCACTCACTTGGTGAAACCTTAGAGAGCAGCGAGAGCGGTTCGCATGCTCTTTCACATACGCTTCTCTTCCACTTCATCGCGGTCGTCGTCGCCGTCATCATCATCATCGACAGAACAAATGAAACAGAAGAGAGTACAAAAAAACGCAAACTGTTTGGATTGTGATGTCGCAAGCGTGTTAGCGACCTTACATTGAGTGTGTGCGCGCTTTCCATCGTTCTGCTTCTCTTCCATTTCTTTGATTGCTGTTGTTATCGTTTTTTTTTTTAATTTGTTGTTGTTTAATGTGTTGTTGTGCTGTGATCGCATTGCTTCTTTTGTGTGCTTTTTCATATATTCAGTGTTTTAATCACGGCCAACGAATCGAGCAAGTATCCAAATAATATTGCATTGTGCGATGAAGGCGCGCGCGAGCGCACACACATACACCCATTAGAACCAAGTGCAAGTGCATTTTTTTAATGATAAAGCCGGACTGTCGATGTGTTTACTATTTGCACCGATCATGCTTGGATATTTACCGGTAGTTAATAGATGATGATAGTTGTTGTTTGGTGTGCCGGCTGTATTCACAGTCAATTGTTTTCACATCACACATTTAACCGATGTGAAATTTATCCAATGCCAAAGCACAAGGTTGTGCGTCACATCGATTACCACAACTACTACTCTCTCCTCTCTCCCTCTCTCTCTTCTCCCGCGTTCTATGCCTTCCTGAGCAGATAGATATGAAATATCATAGATATTATTTTATTTTCTTGGTTATAATAATTATGATTAAAACAGATTATAGCAGTCATTTAGAATGGGTTCAATGCGGTGAACAAGTTGCACCTTTTACTGATTTGTTGGTTCTTCAGCCAACAACTAAACATGATCTGCTTTTCTTCTATTTAACATTGATTCTACGTGTGTGTGTGTGTGTTTGCACATCGTCATTTTTTCCCCTTTTCGTCATGTTCGTCGCTTAATTTATAAGACTTTTCTTTGCATAATCATGTCTTTCGTTTTCTTTCACTTTGCAATCCGATTGCAAGAAAAGACTCACTCGATCGTTTTCATTTCGCTACTGTATTTAATGCCACAACATAATTTTCTACAGTACGATTTGCTCTCTCTGCTGCACAGATCAGGAAGCAACCATAAATTAATATACAAAAGAATGCAGGAATAAAAAAAAGAGAAAAGAGGTTACAAAAGCGAAATGAATGGTGTTTGAAATGAATTTCGTGCATATCTTCGAATGATCAAAGACACGAATTATTCAGTTCGTTGCCGCGTACTTTACATCTTAAATTGATGTGTCAAGAAGTGAACAGCAATGGTTTTTCACATCAAAACCAACGTTGCTTTTTGTTGAAAGCCAAAGAAAACCACTGTGTATGTTTTTATTTAATTGTCATCATTCTATCTGTTGAACATGTTGATATCATCAATTCACTTTTTGTCGTTTTAAATCAAATCGAGTGCATTGTGCAAAATGCATGCTGCAAACAAAGTATATTCGTGAAATTAGCACTAATTCGAATAAATTATTGCCAATCTTACAAAATGCAACATTTTCTTGTGTTTGCAATGATTTCGAAATTTAGATTCGACACAAAAGTCAGATTTCGTCCGTATATGTATACGGTTCAACGGTGATTTGATCCAAAAGACCTTCATTAGCAATATATTTAATTTTAAATTAACGGAAAATGAAGTGCATGTGATTGTTTTATTTTCTCGTTGGTTTGTGCGGTGCGTTACCGATTGCGGCACACATACCGATTGCGACATCGGCCATTCACATAAATTACTAAATAATTTCGCTTAATTCGACCGAATGATGTCTGTTGATAACCTATGTTCTGTGACCGCGGTGGGCATAATAATCATTTGCAACTCGTCGCCGATGAGTTTGTCATTTAAAAGGCCAAACTGAACGAAGAGCTAAGAACAAGTGTTCATATGTTCGGTAGCGCTTTGTTTTCATTTCTTTTTATTGCTGAGTCGTTTTCATCTTTTCAAACGAAGCGGTAATTGTATCAACCGATTTATGTTACCTGTACGGGCCGGCCCATTCTGACACTCTTGTCACTGCTGTCGGCAAAATTATTATATTCGTATTATGTGTGTATTCAAATTGCGGTTTATTAATAAAAAAAATACGTTCATATTAACATTTGTGAGTGAACCTCGCTTCTTTCGGTTTTTGAGAGAGACTATGATTTGGCAAAAGAACAAAAAGTATCTGCTTAATGACGCATTGGACAGATGCAAACTTATTATCATATATTTTTGGAGTTGTCTCTACCTCAGTGCTAACGTGACGTTGGTAACGTCAAACAAACCGGCAAGGTGTACTACGAAATATTTCGCTTGTTTGCACACACATATGATTCGAAGAAATATAAAATGAAATCAAAACGGTAAATATAGTATGTATAGTACGGAATGGTGTATGGTCGGCTAAAAATAAAGCAATTTCGTTGTGCCAAAGGACAGAACTAGACAATTTGTGTAGATTCTTTTCTTTTTTCCAACCTCTCAACCATCGCATTCTTTAGTTTGCTTAACACCAAATTAACGCGTGTTTAAAACGACAAGAAAAAAAAAACATGTTAAAATGTCTTAATTGTTGGTTGAGTTTGAATTCAAATAAACAAATGTTCGATGATAAATAGTTATAACAATCGAACATGATGTTAATACACAATGCGAGCAAAAAAAATTGTGATTGATCATATGCTTTAATCTAATCGATAGCCGAATGAAATGTAAAATCCATTCGAGTTGCATAAGTGGTTTGGGGTTTTAAGTGTTTTCGAGGATTAGCGCAAAACAAAAACCGGCAAAAATGAATTTGTCGATGTGTTGGCGCTTCGATGAATCATAATTATAAAATTTCTTCTTAATTACAGGTTTACCAAGTCGCACAATACGAACAAAAAAGAAGAAGAAGCAATGAAACGGATATTTCAATGATACTTTTGAAATAATATGCAGCGAAGCTGATGCGGGCTGTTGAATGTAAACAAAGTCAGAGTGATGATTGAATATATATGGTTTATAGAAAATGTTTTAAAATAAATTATTCATCAAGAGAACTCTTTTTTTTCCTTCTCTAAATATCATTATGCTGTAATAAAAGTAAGTCAGTTGAAGAAGATGATCGTTAATTTTATAGAGCGTCCGTATGGGTTTTCGAGCAAATATAATATTGATATGAAATATGTTTAAATAATTCATCATTCCGGTTGAGTACGTTTCACTGTAAACCGTTTACTCATCTATCGTTGTAATTGACAGTTATTACAATCGTATCCATTCCATAACCATATTGGGAGCATTAGCATTTTTGAGTATCAACATCTCTCGTATGTAATGAGTTTTTACTTTTCCGCACACACCTAGTGTGTAAGGTAAAGTATTGGAATCGGTCGAAAAATTAACACCCTCAAAAAACATGTTTTCTGGGTGTTTTAGGACCCAGGGAACACGAATCTAGCGTTTTTTCGATGTCCGAATGTATGTGCGTGGTACCCTGTACGCTGTACGCTGTACCCTGTACGCAAAAATTTGTTAACACGATAACTTTCAAACAAGAAAAGTAATTCAAAATCTGACTTCACAGGATGATTGGGGGTGCCGAGGAATAGAAACCATTAGATTTTGAGCGACTTTGGTTGATAGAGTAACGTGTCATGTCTGGTGTGATGCCCATGGCCATCCATGGGAAAAATTCAATTTTCCCCCCAAAAGTGATATTTAATGTATTCTTAAACATCCAAAAATATGTATTGGGGGGTTTTTGGGTACGAGAAAACCGAATATGACATTAGTTTTGCGATACAAATATATTTCGACACACCTTTCATACAAATATTTCAAAAAAATTGGATTTTTGTATGGAAGCCATGCCTGTATGATATCGTAATGACCTGAAACTTTGCGCAGGTTATTTTTATCACACAAAAATAATATTCCGAGAGTTTGAAGACATTTCAATACATATAAGGGGTACCTTCCGAACAAAATTTTGGATTTTTCACCCAAAAACGAAAATTTTGTATGGGAAGTACCCCTAAATTGTATTTTCAAACTTCCAGAATGTTGGCTTTTTGTGAAAAAATACCCTGTGTCAAGTTTCACGTCGTCATGCAAGGATTGATTCCATTCCAAAATTCCCATTTTAAGTAATTTTTATATAAAAAGTGTGTCAAAAATTATGTGTATCGCAAAACTAATGTCAGATTCAGTTTTTCGTGAGTTCAAATTCAAGTAAAAGATAAGTTATAAATGAATTTTGTGGATCACAGTGCGGAAAAGTTCATCTTACGTATGTAAGACATTTTATTTTTTTATTGTTGTTGGCGTTTAAAGTTTATTTATTTTATGGAATTGCGACGTACGTCCATTGCCATTTGAACTTGATGGTTGAACATAATCTTAAATCAAACACTCACCGTGAAGTCAAATGTCGCATTCTAATGTCGATTGACAGCGTTTTGCATTTATTTTTTTTATTATTATAGTCGTTGATGTGATGAAACGATTCTATCGCATTTTTCCCAATGACGCAATATGCAAATGACAACATACACACGCATTTGCAACAAAGTAATTGAATTTTTATGCCGTACCATAACATTTATTAATTTACATAATTATGAAAAACAAATGCATTATTAACAGCTAAAAAACGAGCAAAAACATGGCGTACATTTCATGCGTAGAGAATTCGAAAGATGCACGTTCTCATTGTCGATGAACCGATCATGTGGCTGATCAGTTAAGCGAATGAAATCAGATCAATGGGTTTTCAAATGCAAGTGAGAATCAAAGTTTTTTTATCGAGAAATATTCAAATGAGATCGAAAGAATACCTCCCATATGAGGTTTTTGATTCCAAAACAATTCCGCACTGACAATAAAATATTACAAATGATAGAATAACTTAATTAATTTAATTCAACATATGGATGGTCACGCTGAAAAACCGAATGTGCTGAAGATTAATTGGCCAAAGAATGCAAGTTTCAATGAAATTATGGAATTTCACGATTCTTTATTTTATTTGGCCATTCATTTCAGAACAAGGGATTTGCGTTTTTCTAACATTTTGGCCGTTGTGCTTGCAAAAACCGTTGGAATGCTCAAGCAAATATTATTTCAAGTACTTTATCGCCACATCGTAGTGTAACTACCACAAAATTTCCAATTGATATGAGAAATACGCAATTTTTTTTCTGATAGATGAAAGCATACCGTGTCTTGTAGCCGGCTTAATTTCCATAACAACACTATTGTTTTTGCTCGCATTTCTCATCGCTGTTAAATATATTTCACATTCTTCATTAACGCTTTCAACAAAACTCGTAAACTCGATAGATAAGATAAATTTCATTTTGATTTACGCAAAGTTTAAACACTGTTACACACTAATTAGTTGTCTGTTGAATAAAAGATAAGGAATTTAATTGGCAGCACTCAAAAATCAATAAATTATAGTAAATATTTTTTTTATTGGCGCTCTGATCAACGCCGTAGCTGATTGAATATGTATCAATGATATCAGTGCTAAATAACCATGGCAAACACACAACAAATTAATAACATGTGTAAAATTATGCAGAATGTGATCAGCCGAAATTTCACGAACATTATTTTAGAGGGTCTCACATCTCAGGGGGTCTTTTCAATTCATCGTAAACAAATATAGAAAATGTGTGAACTTATTCGAGTCAAAACTGTAAATCAATATTTAACTTTATTGTCTGTCTTTTCTGTAGAACTTCGCATGAATTTACTATTTACCAAAAGGTTGGTCTTTTGAGTAAACTCATAAATTTCGTATTCAAACATTTGTGATTGATTTTTAATTGCATTTTTGTTAGTTTCGTATAATTTCAATCTCATCATCTAAAGCAACGATGACAATCTTGAATATGATGTTTGATTGCGTGTCTGCAACTTGGAACATTAAGTCGCTAAATCAAATCGCTGGTCTGGTGACTAGTTGTGAATTTTTTCTTTGAATTTCGTTGGAAAACCAGCCAAGATAATATCGTCGTCATTTTATCTTCTTTGTCGCCGTTTGCAGAGACTACAAAGATTGATGGGCATGAATTTAAATGACGTTTCTTTTCAAATAATAAATAAAATTAAAATACAGATTTCTTGAGACACACAATTCACTCAATTACGTTATTCTCTCTCTCGCTCTCTCTCTCTCTCTCTCTCTCTCTTTCTCGTTCTTCGTTTATTCGATCAAGAGGAGTGAATGCATACATCGAAATAAAAAAGTTCAATCTTGAATTTCCAATGATGAGAATGTGCAAAACGCCACTTGAAGTAAGTCATTATTGTTGGTGCGTTTTGGCTCTACAAATAAAATGATCGGAAATAAAGATAAAACACCGTATTAATAATGTGAATCATTTCCGTACTCATACACGTTACCTTTTTAGTTCATTACATTGAATACAAATCTTATCGCATTATGTAGAAATTCTTAAGCCGCACAATAAACGGATTGATTTTAAATTGGTTGCCCCAGAAAAAGTCACATAAAAACATTCTAAATATAACAATTTTTGAGACCGTTTAAAATACATTCACCATATGACAATTTATTCAGAACTGTTGATTGATATGATCTGGATGGTTTTATGCATCAGGTGCTTCATACGAATGTTCGAAGTATTTGGCATACAATTTGCAGACTTTTCATTCTCAGCTGCACAATTAAAGTGTAAAAAAATCGTGAATTCCCATACTTTGTTTGAATTCTGGCATCAAATTCAATCATCTATTGGTTGTATCAATAAGAATAAAATGGTACAAATTTGTATCGATTTTGAGCAAGTTTGATTTTATTTACGATTCATGATAATGTTGAACAGCTTCTGGAATTCATCATTGTCCAATGTTAAACTGATTTTAACCACTGTATTGATGTACATTTTTTGCATCGTCCGTGCCGCGCATCATTAGCTAAGAAAAGTTGATGCAAATATGGACAACGTAATCTTTGGTAATAAAAACGCCGTGCTGGTAACACTTACTTCCACTCAACAGGTGGCAACGTACTCATCAAATCATTTTAAGTGTGGATAACCAACCGGAAAATACTATACAAACGCCGATCTAGCGCCTCTTTGGCCATTCAATTTCAACCTTTTCGTTGTGATTTTGTGAATTTCTTATGTTAGATCACAGTCGATTTATTTTTTGTTATTGAAATGGCTGAATTTCAGGAAAATCACGTCAGGCGCCGGAATGCACATCAATCGATAAAAAACCGGAAAATGAAAGGTCTGGGTTAAGTTTAAGCCAGAAATACGTCTTTTGTACTTTCAACCGTATTTGTTTCGCTTTTAATCATTTTTTCACATTTTCAAACAAAATATAGAATTTATGTCTGTGCAACTCTGAATTCGTGAAAACTATAGTATGTTAATTAAATGTTAAGCGTCAAAATAGCGATCAAGTGTTTCAGATATTAACGGACTTTCTGACCCAATTTATAATGAACTTGTGGTCCAAAACGAAAGTGATAAATGTGACGGCAAAATATTTTCTGTGTTTTTAATTGCATGTTATTAAAATACTAACGCGGTTTTGTGGCAATTTTTTGTCATAAGGAAATACAATAGAATCGTTTGATGCACTCAAATAAATCACCGAATTTACCCGCGTGTCACATCATATCAATCTTGCTTTTATAGTCACAACCCAAGTGCCCAAGTTTTTTTTATACGCTCAGAAAAAGAGTTAAATTGTCCGTTGTCATCGTTAGTCATTCTACCAAAATCAAATACAGTTCAAAGGAAAAATAAATTGAAATTTCGCATACGCATAAAAAACAACAGTTTTATTTAATTGGAATAAAGATTGCTAAAAGTTCTGTAAAATATTTGACGATAAAACATGCTAATTTGTTGAAAACTTTGGACATTTCGTTCCATTCTGTTTGCTGCATGAGATATTTTGTGTAAACAGTGTTTCTTTTAAGCGGTATTTTAAACCCGCTTCAATGTTTTTATCGATAATAATCTAAAAACCGAAAGCAACTTCTCTGAAAATTCTCAAGCCATACCTTCATGATTTTTGTTCATTCTTTTTGTTGTCCCTTCTCCGGTAACTAATTAGCATTGTTCTGTTGGCTCTGGCCACGTTTTTGTCGAGTTGAATGTGTCAAAGTGTAATCAACAAACTAACTGACGCAACGTGTTATAAAATAGATCGCATCGATCATCTGCACACACCGTTATCATTTCAGCAGATATACGAACACAAAAGAGACTCACTTGTGATTCTCTATATCCATTATAGTATGCCAAATCTATCATATTATTTAGAATCTCTGTCATAAGTAAAGTGAAACATTTATTTTGGCGAAAAAATTTGTATAAAAACTATTTATTTTTACAAAGACCTTTTCACAGAATTCAAGTAGTAATTAACGCTTATTTCATTTCATTTTGATTTTAACGCCATGATTATTTTACTATCTTCCCTTTTCACATGGTTCGCCAATTCAGACAAAGTCACTTATCGCTTATCGTTCAAAATAATTGTCATTGTCTTCGTTATAAATATAATATTATATTGACCCCGTCGAATTCTTTTCACTAAAAACTTAAATGTATTGTTTGCTACGAGATTTTGATAAAATTACTTAATTAAATAGTATTCGAGTTCATCAAAATCGAATTGTTATGTTTATAATACAAAAGAAACATGCAACATGTTGCGTTACATTTGAGTCATTTATACAAATGTTGTATCTAAAAGTGTATTTAATGGAGGTAAGCTCGCAAGAATTGTATGTTTTTTTTCTCTATTTCATTAATTTATTTGCATTTTCCAAGTCGTGGTATATATCTTAGTGGTGGTATACATCTCTGTGAGATGAAGGTAGGACCTAGAGCTATTCGAGACTCCACCATATTTGAACTAATTGGGCTATCACCCATTACATATTGGCACTCTCCATTTAGATATATTTCCGGTGGATTACATTGTATATATTGGGGTCTTCCAAAAGGCGTAGCTGTGTTCATCACCGCTGACACTATCAATAACAGACTGATGAAAATCAACGTTTTTTCTTCCATTTCTAAGTTTTGGAGAGAAAATCAATTTCAAAATAAACCTATAATTTTTAATGATGAAAATTGATTAAAATTGAACGGTAAAACTTAAAATCCGATGACATCTAAAATTTTTCAAATCGGTCACATCACATTTATCTCTTACTCTCTTTAGTTTATCAATAATATTTTTGTACGTCTTTATATAGTAAATAAAGTTAAATTTCTGCTATATTTAAGCCATGTTTCGACTTATCAACTTATTGGTTTTACTTGAGAAACTTCAAAAAACAAAACTCTTTTTAACGTTATTTGTACACTATTTACTTCTTTCTCGAGATGTCTTTTTAAATCATTAATGAAATTTTTTTGATATTTTTATGTATGTGTTTAATATTTATAAATCTACATCACAAACATATTTACCAGGATTAAATAGAAAACACTTTTATTTCTCAAATAGAAATTGACTGATTGATTTTAAGGTACTGTGTTTCTTTCAAGCTTCAAAATCGAACTGATCGCCACTGTACAATGATGTTTACGACGAAAAACGAAACTCAAACACAATCCGAATCCAATATCAGTCGGTAGAAAATACATTGCTGAAACACAATCATTCGTTTCATTAAACTGATAACGTGACATTCGCATGTTTTGCATAAAAACATCTGTAAAAAAAGGAAGTACAAGTCTGTGATTTTGAATAGTTTTTTTTATTGCACCCACTACACTTAATTTGCCTTATTCGTTGAAAAGAAAGAAGCGATAAGAAATGTAAAACACAGGATGTTGGAGATCAGTTTTATTTAAAACAGTTATGGCTTAAGCCATACGTATAATTATACTTTTTTTTATAAATGAAAAAATGATTATCTGAGAATGAATGTTTGAGTGATTAGATTGTGGTTACAGCTATTGCAGTGCTATTTTCTCAGCTCTTATTCATGGGCGTTTGTGATCAACGCATATGACAGCGGCTTTATGATACAATTCTGAACGAAATGTTCAAAATGTAGAAGAATATACTTATTGATTTTAGCATTTTGTTTATATAAAAAAACAATATATTGTCCTGCATTCCAAACATTTCGTTCGGAATTGTATCATAAAATCACAAATTGCGCCTATGAATAGGAGCTGCGGAAATAGCACTGCTCTAGCTGTATCCACAATCTATTCCCTTCTTGAATGACTTCTGTCGAAACTTCACAATTTTCATTTTGGAAGAAGTATCACATTCGTTCTTGAGTCATTTTTGATGTCTACATCTATTTAAAAGCAATGGTAATTGAATTGTTTACTCAAAATTATCGAATAAGTTGGATGTTTTATTTAATCACCCGATTAACCGAATCGTTTTATACACTTTCCGTTCCAATAAACTGATGGCGGTTTGCATTTTTGTGAGTTGCTCGTTGATCCTGAAAATATTGCACTGACTCCAAATTCGGGACTTTCGTTTGAGAACACTCTATTTATCATCGCTATAAATAATATCATACAGATGAAAATCCAACTCTTTGCGATCATTTCTGAAATATCAAGAACGAATGAATACATAATATCTAATCACACTCTTTGTATCTATTTACTATTAAATATATAACACGCTAAATAATCGGCTTTATACCTCTTTTGGCACTGAACAAATTAAAAATGGAATGTTGTTTCGTTGAATTCTAAAATGGAACTGACTGATTTTGCAGTGTATTTTTATAATTGAAATAAATACTGCGTAATTCACACTTGGTGATTATTTCACAATCATAATAATACACACATAATATGATCTTCTTCTTTTTTATAAAAAACAGTTACTCGTTATCAGAGCTGTTATAGGCACCGCGAATGTTCGGGCACTCTTCTTATAATTGTCGCCCTTTCTTGCATTTTGGTTTGGCACTTAAAAAGTTATATGGATTAAGTGCGGGCAGCCAATAGTGCCCGCACTTCTGCGGTGTCAATAACAGCTCTGCTCGTAATTTGCCCCCTTACTTTTCCTACACCTCAGACAAACATTTCTTGGTATCAGTAAAGGTCAAATTTGTCGTTAACTTTAACTCGCTTCAATCAATGTTTATATTTGTCAATAAAGTGGAACTGTGTTGAAATCTGAACGTAAAAATAATCCACCAACGGATCACTTAAGTGATTAAGAACGGAATTCATTCAACTTTGTACTCTATCATTTACAAATGTACAACACTAATATTTTTTTGATAATATTACCGGAAAATTGTTTACTAAAATTAACTACCACGAATGGTAGTTACACTTGAACATTTTTCTTTGATGGTAATTTTTATCCAATTCCGTTGATAATTTTCAATTTTCTTTTATACTTTCATTTACATTCCAATTATACACGAGAGAAAAATAGAAATAAAATAAGTAGATAAGTTCATTCAACAAAAAAAAAGAACTATAATTTTTTGAAAAGTATTTTGGCCAAGTTATTTATTTCAAATCGAATGATTGTTTTGTGAAAAATAAAAAGCGATGGTTCATGTTTTTATAAATGAAAAATGGGTGGTTCAATCCATCTTCATTGCAATATTTTATCTACTATATCTTTATTCATTTATTGAATTAGTTTACAGCAATAAAAATTAAATGATTTTCTCCAAATTTTTAAATATTTTGGATTTGCAATAATCATCGGGAAAAATCTCAAACAATTATCTTACATTTCCCATTCCAATGTACTGCTGGCGGTTTGCATTTTTGGCCGAAGCTCTGTGGTTGGAAGGCTGACGTGATATATCCATAATTTTGGGTAACTTCATTTGTGTTCGCTATATTTATTATCGCTATAAATAATAACGCACAGATGAAAAACCAATTTTTTGCGTTCATTTCTGAAATAATAAGAAAGAATATTGAATTATGCTCTTTATAGTTTGTACTTAATACATATATTGTTATCCATAAATTATCTATACCTCTTTTTGCACTGAAAAAATGAATCAACTTGTGAAATGATATACTTGCTCTGAACTCTGGGATAGAACTGACCGATTTTGGATCGCACTTTTATATTTTTTATTCGCAAACAGTATTTTCACAATCATAATAATACATACACAATTTAATTAGTTCATTAAGTTTCGTTCATTATCGATATGATTCAGTAAACAATCAGTAACATTTGGCGATGACCTCTAGCAATTATAGGCATCTTTCTTTTATAAAGTCTTTTTCTTAATCATTCTCTGCACATGCATATACAGTTCTTTTATCATTTACATTGTCTCTAAAGTACTTTTCGCTCTCTTCGTGTCTCAGACTCAGACGGAGAGGAAAATGAAGAGAAAAGTGTCGAATAAAAAAATATATAATTTTTCAAAAAATAATATTGTATTTTTGCAAAACCATTCTGAAACAACATATACATTGAATATTTTCATTGTTTGAATGATAGGAATATCTATACTGTCTACTTTTATACGATTTTCGATTTTGCGATTTTCATTCCTAATGTTCAACTTTCAAATCTCGTTGCAGAATGTTTAAAAAAAAAATATAGCATGAAAATATCCTTTTTACGAAAAAGTGTTGCTCCTCATTTACCCCACCCCTTCCTTTACCATAGACGACATTTTCTGATATCAGTTATAAGTCGAATTTGCCGTTAACTCGCTTTCGCTTCAATCAATGTTCGTTTATCAAATAAATAGCAATGCAATAAAGTCTGAACGTAAAAATAACCGACTGTATGATGAATCACTGCATCAACTTTGTACTCGTTTGTACTATTCTGTTTACAAACGCTAGCAAAATGATAGGTATTATTTTTGTCTTTTTTTCTTGATAATGCAATAATATATGAGTGAATCATGCGAATTGAGATTGAGACGGAACACAAATAAATAAATACTTTCTGGTGATGGGAACATATTCACCAAATCATTCGTTAAATCATCATTTTATGATAAACAAAAGATAACATTAAACTTCCAAAACAATTTCATTGGAAATAACCATCTACCCACTTGTGCAATCAAGCTTTTTTTGAAATTTAAAAGAAAAATTGTTATCTGTATAGTGCTGATTAACATTTATCATAACTGAACATGAATATTCACATGTGATAAAAAAAATTGAATGTTATAGATGTCACATCAAACAAATACCATTTCTTGCATTTTTAAACAAAATAAATAAAATTCCGTGCAAGTCTGAATTCATAAAAACTATAGTATGTTAATTAAATGTTAAGTGACAAAATAGCGATCAAATATTTCAGATATTAACGGATTTTCTGACTCTGATAATGAACTTGTGGTCTAAAACGAAAGTGATAAATTTCTCATCAAAATATTTTCTGCGAACTCGTTCTTAATTGCATGTTATTAAAAGACTAACGCGATTTTGTGGCAATTTTTTGTCATAAGGAAATACAATAGAATCGTTTGATGCACTCAAATAAATCACCGAATTTACCCGCGTGTCACATCATATCAATCTTGCTTTTATAGTCACAACCCAAGTGCCCAAGTTTTTTTTATACGTTCAGAAAAAGAGTTAAATTGTCCGTTGTCATCGTTAGTCATTCTACCAAAATCAAATACAGTTCAAAGGAAAAATAAATTGAAATTTCGCATACGCATAAAAAACAACAGTTTTGTTTTATTGAAATAAAGATTGCTAAAAGTTCTGTAAAATATTTGATGATAAAACATGCTAATTTGTTGAAAACTTTGGACATTTTATTTTGTGTAAACAGTGTTTCTTTTAAGCGGTATTTTAAACCCGCTTCAATGTTTTTATCGATAATAATCTAAAAACCGAAAGCAACTTCTCTGAAAATTCTCAAGCCATACCTTCATGATTTTTGCTCATTCTTTTTGTTGTCCCTTCTCCGGTAACTAATTAGCATTGTTCTGTTGGCTCTGGCCACGTTTTTGTCGAGTTGAATGTGTCAAAGTGTAATCAACAAACTAACTGACACAACGTGTTATAAAATAGATCGCATCGATCATCTGCACACACCGTTATCGTTTCAGCAGATATACGAACACAAAAGAGACTCACTTGTGATTCTCTATATCCATTATAGTATGCCAAATCTATCATATTATTTAGAATCTCTGTCATAAGTAAAGTGGTGAAACATTTATTTTGGTGAAAGAATTCGCATAAAAGCCATTTATTTTTACAAAGACCTTTTCACACAATTCAAGTAGTAATTAACGCCTTAAAAACTTGAAATTTATGTCACATCAAACAAATAATGGTTGGGTTATGTGATAGAGCAACATGTTGCATTCTTCGTTAAATAAAAGCTATCCAACATAATGGAGACGCCACACAAATATTATCTTTCAAATTTTATTACGGGAGTAAAATTAATGGCGAAACCGATTGCGAACAAATTTGTTGAAATTATATTTATTTTCATTGAGCAATTTTAAAACAACATTTTATCATTCTTATAAACTCATTATATTCAAATAAAAGTATATATTTTTAATTATGCGCAATAACTTTTTTTCAATTAGCAATACCAATCATTGAATGCTCATACATGGTTCGAGCATTCATTTAAAAATCATAAAGCAATTTGAATTTATTGAGCGTATATTTATTTCGTAAAATTGTTTGAAGCTGTAGAAAATATGTATTGAATATGTAATGAAAAGTTGTTTTCTTATAAACATACAGTGAATTTTCTTTAAAACAAGTGTCAAGGCGAATTATATTGAATTATTGGTTTTTTCTTTTTATGTGTTACGCGAACACATGAAATCTCAAATGAGGTATATCTTGACTGAAGCGTTAGTCTCCTGAAAAATAGTTATTAAAAAATAAAAATAAAATAAAATGAAAAATAGTTATTACAATATGAAATGTCTTGAGACAAGGTGTTTGCGTTTTCAATTTTAATCCAAATGACAATTTACGTGTTTAATAGAATTTTGGTAAACTGTTATGTATTTTAAACGTAAAAAAACCTAGATGTTGAGAATATGTATTAAGAGATAAGCGACAGAATTTTACACTTTGACACAAAAATATCGTAATACGATAGCGCCTTGCATCTTAGCCAGTATCATGCACGTATCAGATTATACAAAACGTTTTCGGGACAAACGCAATCCGAATTGAAACCACAAGACGGTAATTTATTTTCGTACAATGTTTTTTTTTTCCTTCGTTTTTCCCCTTGTATGTTTTAGCAGTGGATTTCTTTAAACGAGTGATTTTTTTGTCGTGTTCGTTGAGGCTTTTGTTGTTTGTAGTGCTTACGATGTGGTTTGTTTTTCTTATGACCCCATCCCATGTTTTCCGATCGGTTCACACATGACAAGCGGATATAGTATGCATGTAAAAAGTGTTTCAACCATTTACGGTCTGACTTGCTGAAGAAAAAGTCAATACGATGCTCTTTGGCATGGCTGGCGTGACTAAAAATGTGAACTTTGGTGTGTTTATGTGTGTTTTTTGTTCTTTTGCTCGGCGGACGCAATGAACGTCAGCTACGACACATAATTCCCAATATTCGTCAATCCTCTTTTGCTAAGTCCCAAAAGATACAAAATGTGCACCACAAAAATCATTCTGCACAGAAAAAGGTATGCAACTACATTCCGTAGCTAGGATAAAATCGAAGGCAAGCTAAGTGACACACAAGGAATAAGAAAAATAAAAAAAACCGTCACATGAACCATTTAATGGCAATGGTTTCAGAAACACACACACACAGAGTAGTATTGTGCAGTTTACATTCTCCACATATCACACAAATACTCTCAATAATCAAAATAAATGAGTAGAAAAACAAATTTTCATCCTCACACAATCTCTTTTACGCTTGTTCATTCTCTATTTCGTTCCTATACTCAGTCACTCACACACATAAGCATAGAGTATGCTCTTTTTGTCGTTGTTGTTGTTTTTTTGTCGTTGCTTGTTATGAGCTGCTGCTTTTTACGTTCATGTGCTACTGTGATACTGATGCCACTGCTGCTTTTTTATGTATTCTCTCGACATCTCGATTTCAATGCATTCTTGTTAAGGACTCATGATGAGTAGTGCTTTTGTATTATTCAACTAAATAAAAAGCACAAAATAAAAATATCGCTCACACCCGGCAGCAATAAGAAATGCCGAAAATGAATGAAGAAGATGTGTAAACAGGGAAAAAAACCACAACCGAAAAGAAAACTCAAGTATACACGAAGACGACAACGACAATAACGACGCGGTGGTGCGAACGAAGCGGAAACGAACACTGAAAAAATAACACTGATGCGGTTCTGGCCGAACAGTAAAAAGCATTTTCTCATTGTTTGTCATTTTTGATGTCTTGGGCAACTGAAAGTTTTCTACAATGAAACTTTATCAAAATGCTCACAAAAAAAGTACGAATATGTATAAGTAAAATACACAATGGTTTCTCAATGACAATGTCACACACAATTGTCTTGGATCAATGCTCTCTCTCCCTATCTCATTTTCTCTCACTGTGTCATCACACTCTCTGCTTTCCGTCTGACACCGTTTGTTCACGCTACAAACCGGATGACAACAATTGGATGGATTAACGACTATTTAACGCCAACGCATATTCGAGTGAATTTTCGCCCAGTTAAATGCAACCAAAAATTAGAATTACTAATTGTTTAAGTAGACGCTTCAACACGTCACTTCATAGAAACTCACTCTCTCTCTCTCACTCACTCACCCCTTTTGACGCAATCATAACACACAAATGTTATGTTCGGCCACGTCAAAATAAATCGGCTCATAAACAAACAACAAATGATTCTAATTAATCTTTTGTATGCGGTGCTAGATATCTGGTTGTGTAATGTCTATATATTATTTGAACGGTATTTGGACCTCGAGAACAGTCTGTCAACTTGTAGCAGATGCTTTCAAGTCGACAAAATCCCCAAATGATTACGTTTTATGAAACAAAAGAAATATTAGTCATGATTTGTGTATGAAAATGAAGGAACACATTTACCGTCATACAATAGGTAGTGCATATGTAAGTG